AAAAAAAAAAAAAAAAAAAATGCGTTCAACTCATCAAAATCTTCACCTTTTAAAAACTTGGACAAAGTCAAAAGTTAACAACAGCAACAAAAAAAAGCCAACAAAAGGACACTAAAAGACATGCAATAGAGACAAAACATCCAAAGCCATAAAGACCTGAAATACAGTACAAAAAAGAAAGTAGGATAGGAGCAAGGTGGATCACTGTCTATAGAGAACAATCACCCAGCAGTGAGAGCACAAGTCTCTAACGCTAGCATTCCAAATGATCTTGAGTTCACAATCAACTTGGGCTACATAAAGAAACCCAGTATCAAAAATAACAGGAGTTGAGGGGTATGATTCAACCAGTAGAATACCTACTTACTAAGAGAAAAACCCCTGAGTTCAAAATCCAGTATTACTAAAACAAAACAAAATGCCAGGTATGGTGGTACACACCTATAATCTCAGCTACTTAAGAAGTAGACACAGAAAAATCATGAGTTTGAAAATAGCCTGGGTGTAGTTAGCAAAACCCTTTTTCACAAACAAAAAAACAAAAAAGCAGTTCAAATCCTAGTACTGAAAAAAAGGAAATGGGGCAAAGTGGCCATAGAGGCATTGTTCAAATGGTAGAACGCTCACCCAGCATGCACAAGTTCCTGAATTCAATTTCCCAAACCAGGAAGGACAAAACAACAAAAACAGATATAGTATGCCTACTGATAAAACAACACAGCACTACTGCCTATTTGTCAAAGTAATCAAACCTACATCTATTCATACTTCTGGAGCAAACTGCCAACATCCAGGAAATAAAGGAGTCAGAGGAATATAAGGAACTCCATCATAATAAAATCAGGAGAACAGAAGCTAGGAGAAAAAAAACCTCACCGGTCAATTGACTGTAGTCATTTTAATAGATTAATTTCAAAGAAGAAAGGGAAATGCATGAACAAAGGAACTTCACAGAAATAAAAGATTGTATGAACAAGACTAAATGACAACATCTAAGAATCTATCCCATTAGTGTAAAAAAAAGGGTTAGTGTTAGAGGAAAGAAGGCTATGATTAGACAAACAGCCACTAGGGTGGCAAGCAAAGTTTTGTGTCTTCCCTTGGATGGTAATTATAGGTCATCTGTTTCAATTTCCAATCAAAAGGTTGAAATAAAAAAAGAAACTTTTTTTTTTCCTTTTTTGCAGTAACAGGGCTTGAACTCAGGGCCTGGGTGCTATCCCTGAGCTCTTTCACTCAAGGCTAGTGCTCTACCACTTTGAACCACATCTCCCCTTCCAGTTTTTGAGTGGTTGATTGGAGGTAAAAGTCACATAGGGACTTTGCTGCCTGGGCTGGCTTTGAAATGTGACCCTCAGATCTCAGCCTCCAGAGTAGCTAGGATTATAGGCATGAGCCACTAGCACCAGGCAGAAACAAGCTTTAGCCATGTCTGTCTTGCTGGAAGCCTTGCCACCCTCACCTTGGTCACAGTACATCAACAGATCTGGGTTGTTGACCACAATATGTGTTTCTCCATCTTTGCTTTGTGGCCGATGGTAACGGTAGTGCACAGGTAAGAAGGCGTGGAAACAATCAATGCACTGGACATCTTTTCTGGCATACATGAGAATTTCAGATTCCCTGGACAGATAATTGGGGGCTTCTATATTAAAATGTTCTGAAACCATCACTGCCTGTTGAAGAGAACACCAGTATTATCAATAAGAAATAAGGAAAAATGAAAATCCAAAAGTAAATGAAGACAACTATTATACAGATATGCAGAAGTGTCAATTGACCCCCTTAAAGAATACCTCTGTTATTCTTCCATTTTTAATTTTTCATAGAAAACACAGGAATCAACTGGAGAAAATATACCCTGGGGTAACAGCTTTCCCCATAATAAAAAAAAGTTTCTATGAAATTTCCCGACTAACTTCTGTTTAGGTGATAAAACAAGTATCAAGGTAAGTTAAATTATGTGAATAAATATGATATCATTCAGTAATTACAAAACTAACTGTAACAGAAACATAAGCCTGTATTAGGTTACAATGAATGGGATCACTCTGGTAATTTCCTGTTCTTTAGTGAAGCAAGTAAAATGGTAGTGAGTCAGATAGGCAAAAGTTGTCAACTCTTTCCATAGTGAGTATAAAAAGTTAGTGGAGCCAGGCACTGGCGGCACACACCTATAATCCTAGCTACTCAAGAGGCTGAGATCAGAGGATTGCAGTTCAAAGCCAGCCTGGGCAGGAAGTCTGTGAAACTTTTATCTACAATTAACCACCAGAAAACTGGAAGTGGTACTGTGGCTAGAAGTGGTAGAACACTAGCTTTGAGCTGGGGACAGTCTCCATGTTCAAGCCCCATGATTAGGGAGAAAAAAAAAGTTAATGGAAAAAGTGGCACACAAGTAGCTTGGATCTCTTTCTTTTTTTGTCAGTCATGGGGCTTGAACTCGGCCTGATCACTGTCCCTCAGCTCTTCAGCTCAAGGTGAATGCTGTACCACTTGAGCTACAGCACTGCTTCCAGTTTTCTGAGTGTTTATTGGAGATAAAAGTTTCACAGACTTTCCTGACCAGGCTGGCTTTGAACCACAATCCTCAGATCTCAGCCTCCTGAGTAGCTAGGATTACAGGTGTGGGTCACTGGCGCCCAGCACAGGATCTTGGATCTTATGTGTTAATACTGGAGATCAAACCCAGGACCTCATGTATGCTAAACACTCCACTTCTACTCTGAATGACATCCTCAGCCCTTGCAAACTTTTTTAAGATGCAGTTTTAAAAAAGAATTCTATAGCCGAAAGACAACTACAGGAAGAAAGATAGGGTAATCCTGGGGTTCATGTTTATATGTTACTTCTCTCAATATCAGTGCCTTTTACTACCTGATATTCAATGGCTTGTTTCATTATTTTATATATTTTGTCTATTTCTTGGTTATTTCAAGAGAGACATTAAATCTTTTCTTTTTCTCTTTTTGGTGCTAGTACTAGAACTTGAACTCGGGGCTTTTTTGCTCAAAACTAATATTCTACTCCTTGAGCCACAACTCTACTTCTACTTCCAGTGTTTTGGTGGTTAGATAGAGATAAGATTCTCAGCCCTGGGGCTGGGAAGGTGGCTCAGTGGTAAAGTGCTTGCCTTGCATACATGAGGCCCTGGGTTCGATTCCTCAGCACCACATAAGCAAAAAAAGAAAAAAGCCGGAAGTGGCACTGTGGCTCAAGTGGTGGAGCAATAGCCTTGAGCTGAAGAGCTGAGGGACAGCGCCCAGGCCCAGAGTTCAGGCCCCACAACCAGACCCCCCCCCAAAAAAAAAAAGATTCTCAGCTCTTTCCTTTTGGGGATAGCTTTGAACTGTGATCCTCAGACAGCCTCCTTGTATCTAGGATTACAGGTATGAGCTGGGCTTTGGCTCCTTTTCTTGTACAAAAGCAGAAGTCTAAATATTATATATTTTGACTGAGTAAAAGTTAGAGTTTCAAAAACATTGTATTTTCACTTGGAACTACAAAATATCAATTTCATGTTTTAACTGAGTATTATGTTGTTTTCAAGGAGTATGAGAGACTTTTTTTTTTCTTGCCAGTCGTGGGGCCTGAACTTTGGGTCTGGGCACTGTCCCTAAGCTCTTCAGCTCAAGGAGAGCACTCTACCACGTGAGCCACAGCGACACTTCCAGCTTTTTCTGTTCATGTGGTACTGAGGGCCTCATGCATGCAAGGCAAGCACTCTACCACTGAGCTACTTTCCCAGCCCCGAGTACAAGAGACTTTTTATTTAAGTGTTTGTCTAGAGGCTGGAGGTATAGCTCAGTGGTAGTGTGCTAGCCAAGAAGGTATGAGGCACTGGGCTGGATCCAACTGAAGAACTAAGAAAGAAAGAGCACTCTAATAACCTTACTTAAAAATGAAATGAGCCGGGTGCTGGTGGCTCATACCTGTAATCCTAGCTACTCAGGACACTGAAATCTGAGGATTATGGCTCAAAACCAGCCTGGCCAGGAAAGTCCATGAGACTCTTATCTTCAATTAACCACAAGAAAACTGGAAGTGGTGCTGTGGCTTAAGCGCTAACCTTGAGCTAAAAAGCTGAGGGACAGTACCCAGGCCGAGTTCAAGCTCCACAACCAACCAAAATAAATAAATAAATCAAGTTTATTAGATGTCTTTTGGTGAAGCTTTTTCTTTTTGCAATGCTGATATTACACTGAGGACATCAGGAATGCTAAGTGTGTGCTCCCCACTCCGTTAAACCTTCAGCCCCTTGCTAAACTTATTTAGGGCTTGTGTTGATTGATCTCAAATGCCTTACAACGGATTTTGTAGCCATACCACCCATCTGCTTTGTCCAATTGTTCTAAATTAGTTAGAGGCAAAAATGTTTATCTCCAGGAAGATTTAATTCCATACAGGCAACAACTAATTCTGCATATAGGGTTGGCAAGGTGGCTCAGTGGTAGAGTGCTTGCCTTGCATGCATGAGGCATTGGGTTCGATTCCTCAGCACCACATAAGCAGAAAAAGTGGTGCTGTGGCTTAAGTGGTAGAGCACTAGCCTTGAGCTGAAGAGCTGAGGGGCAGCATCCAGGTCCAGAATTCAAGCCCCAGGACCAACAAAGAAAAACAGAACAAAATAAAAAAAAAAAAACTAATTCTGCATATAACTTTCCTTCTATCTAGTTAAAATCAACATGTAATAGTACTTTTCATGACAACATTCCTCTGTACAAGGGATTGGGCCATAGTCTCAACTCGGCTAGAAAGAAGAAAAATAATGTATGATATTAATACATCAATTTCCAATTATGGGTTATGGGACATGTGACATATAGTCATATTTTTTTTTTGCCAATCCTGGGGCTTGAACTCAAGGCCTGGGCACTGTCCCTGAGCCTCTCTGTGCTCAAGGCTAGCACTCTATTATTTAAGCCAGAGTGCCACTTCCAGCTTTTTGTTTATGTGGTACTGAGGAATGGAACCTAGGGCTTCATGCATGCTAGGCAAGCAATCTACCACTGAGCCACCTTCCCAGCCTGTGTGACATGTATTTTTCTATAAATTTTCAAAATAACAAAAGAAATACAGGCCTATGCCAGATGGTATATGACCACAATTTCAGCTACTCAGGAGGCAGAGGGAAGATCAAGGTCTGAGGTTAGACTGGGGAAAAGCTTCAGATTCTTTCTGAAAAACAAACTGAAAAGCAAAAGAAGGGCTGGAGATATGGCTCAAGTGATAGAGCTCCTGCCTAAAGAGCAGTGAGGCTCTGAGTACAAACCCCAGTAGTGGGGGGAAAAAATTAACACAAGAGTAGGGTTTAGATTAGGAAGCTAAGTATCAAGGTGAGGAGAAACTTGTCAATTAATAAGTAGCCGAGACATTTCTCGGCTGTGGTTCAAGATGTAGAGTGCCAGCCTTGAGCAAAAATGAAGCTCAGGGACAGTGCCCAGGCCCTGAGTTCAAGCCCCAGGACCAGCAAAAAATAAATGGAGATAATGTGTCTTTAGGATTGCTATAAAGATTGATTTAGGGGCTGGGAATGTGACATCATGTAAAGTGCTTGCCTAGCATGCATGAAACCCAGGATTCAATTCCTCAGTACCACATAAACATAAAAAGGCAGAAGTAGCACTGTAGCTCAAATAGTAGAGCACTAGCCTTAAGCACAGAGAGGCTCAGGGACAGAGCCCAGGCCCTGAGTTCAAACCCCAGGACCAGCAGGAAAAAAAAAAAAAAGATTGATTATATAAGTAGTGTGAGACACAATTTTTTAAAAAAAGGTTAATTTTAAGCCAGGAGCCAGTGGCTCACATCTATAATCCTAGCTATTCAGGAGATTAAGATCTAAGGATCACAGTTCAAAGCCAGCCTGGGCTAGAAAGCCCATGACACTCTCATCCCCAATAAACTACTCAGAACAAACCAGAAGTGGCACTGTAGCTCAAGTGATAGAGCACTAGCCTTAAGCACAAAAAGGCTCAAGGACAGCACCCAGGCCCCCAGTTCAAGCTCCCTGAGCAAAAAAAAAAAAAAAGTTAATTTTACCTTCTTTAAAAAATAAAGAAAAAGAAAATACCTGGCATATAGATAGATATCTATTAAATATTTGTTTCCTTCTTTTCCATACATAAAATATAGTTTAACAAAATTGCTATGGAAGTACTATTTACTATTAATCTTCTCTGTATACACACATAGATGTATATAATATTTTCTGTAAGCTATCATGCTGAAAAGCTTTAAACCAGCTCAGATGGTGTAGTAATAACAAGTTGTAGTAATAACTCACTTGTTGAAAAATACTCTATTCTATCTCTAAAAGTGTCTATTTGTTTTGTTTTTGTGCTGGTCCTGGAACTTGAACTCAGGGTCCAGGCTAGCACTCAATCACTTGAGCCACAGCCCAGGCTTTGTTTGAGCTTAAATGGAGATTAAAGTCTCACTTTAACTCCTCACTGGCTTCAAACCATAATCCTCAGGTCTCAGCCCCCTAAGTAGCTAGGTTTACAAGTGTGAGCCACCAGGACTCAGCTAAAGTATTGCTTTATATATTTAAACAAAATGTAAATTCGTTTGTCTGATGTATTTTGCCTTGATCCAAGTTATTGAGTCCCTAAATTAATTTATCACAGAAAAAAAAATCTTAGTAGTTATACCTCTGTTATGTTTTTCTCTCGTAATGAAGCCAGTTCATATGGATCCACAAAAAGTCCTGTTGGGATATAATGTTTAATTAAGAGTCGGCAGGTCTGCAAGTCTTCAATGCTTTCTCCAAACTTCACTTTTATTACAAGGTCTCTGGAAGACAAGTACAGTTTAAAATAAATCTCTTCATTCAATTGTTAAATGATATAGTACAACATTATATCTACAACAGCACAAACACTATATTTCAAATTCACTTTCCAAAAGTAGATTAACAAATGAAATATTTATACTGTCATAGTTACCCATTAGCTCTTTCATAATTATGTTATAAGCAATAAACATTAGAAAAAAAATTAAGATCACTTGAACAACAATTAAATCCAAAAAGGAATCACATATTTTCAATAAAGTAAACAACATAATTTGATAGGGAAAGATAAGTCTTTCAACAAATGATATGTGTGTAAATATATATGTATGCATCTATACACACATGTGTAAATAGATGTACATGTATATTATATGCATATATCACATATTGCAGTATATACATATGTTCACATATGTGTGTACATGCAAATGTATACATATATTTATACATATATATAGCTCCATCTGGTTCAATATTTGCTATAAACCATTTATATATCTACATGAATACATACACATATATACATATATATGGTATATATACATATAATCTTTTCTGACCTCATAAATATATCTACAAATTAATTTAAAATACATTATAGGAGCTGGCTGCTGGTGGCTCAAGTGTGTAATCCTAGCTACTCAGGAGGCTGAGATCTGAGGATTGTGATTCAAAGCCAGCCTGGGCAGGAAAGTCCTAGACTTTTATCTCCAATTAACCACCTAAAAACCAGAAGTGGAACTGTGGCTGAAAGTAGAAGAGCAGTAGCCTTGCACAAAAAAGCTCAAGGACAGTGCCCAGGCCCTGAGTTCAAACCCCCTCGACCCACAAGAAAAAGGAGGCTGAGCACTGGGGATTGTGGTTCATAAAGGCAGCAAAGTACATGACACCCTTATCTCTAATTAACCAGCCAAACAGCTCAATGGTGGAACACCTGCCTAGCAAGCAGGAAGCCCTGAGTTAAAGCCCCAGTACTGGGGGGGAGAGGGGGAGAGGAAGTGGCACTCTGGCTCAAGTGGTAGAGTGCTAGCCTTGATCTGAAGAGCAGAGGGACAGCACCCAGGCCCAGAGTTCAAGCCCCAAAACCGACAACAACAACAAAAAAAAGATAGTTCTCACAAGTGTGTTACTAGCCTGTGAATACATAAACCAAGGATGGAAAGCTTTCTTTAAAGAGCCTCATAGCAAATACTCTTGGCCTTTTTTTTTTAATTGTGAAAATACTGTACAGAGGGGTTACAATTACATGGGCAAGATAATGAGTACATTTCTTATCAAGCATTGTAGCCTCCTCCTTTGTTTCCCCTTCCCATCCCACCCTCCCCCCCACCCCCCACTCTTGGCCTTTTGAGACACCCAAAATTTGTTATATATTTGCTTCTATTTTTATACTTTAAAAATGTAAAAGTTATTTTATACACTGCTAAATATCAAAAAGAAGCTGGGCACTAGTGGCTTGTGCCTGTAATCTTAGCTACTCAGATGGATATCTAAGGATAATCGTTCAAAGCCAACGTGGGCAAGAAAGTCTGTGAATCCTTACCTCAAATAAATCACCAAAAGAAGCCAGAAATGGAGCTGTGGCCCAAGTGGTAGAGCACTAGCCTTGAGCAAAAAGAAGCTCAGGGAGAGCGCCCAGGCCCTGAGTTCAAGACCCAGGACCAGCATCAAAAATAAATATCAAAAAGAGAAAAGAGAATCCTCAACAGCCAGTTGTCAACAATTTCATAAAACAGAAATAGACAAAATTAAGTCTTTGTGTTGAAGTGACTTCTCAGTAATTGAGTTTAAACAGAGAGAAACAGACATATTTTCCAACACACACAACTTTTTACCAGCCTTTTAGATCTTCAATACTAGCAACATATATTTTTTTTTTTTTTGTCGGTCATGGGGCTTGAACTCTGGGCCTGGGCGCTGTCCCTCAGCTCTCCAGCTCAAGGCGAGCGCTCTACCACTTGAGCACTTGAGCTACAGTGCCACTTCCGGTTTTCTGGTGGTTTATTGGAGATAGGAGTCTCACGGTCTCTCCTGCCCGGGCTGGCTTTGAACCGCGATCCTCAGATCTCAGCCTCCTGAGTAGCTAGGATTACAGGCATGAGCCACCAGCGCCCAGCTCTGGATAAGAGAATTTGTAACTCTTAGGAAGTTAATCACAAATAATTATTTTTGCCAGGTATGGTGGAGCACATATGTACTCCCACACTTGGGAGGCTGAGACAAGAGGATCTTGATTTTGAAGCCAGTTGGGGCTACAAAGACTCTGTCTCAAAAACAAACAAACAGGGGCTGGGAAGATGGCTCAGTGGTAGAGTGTTTGCCTCGCATGCATGAAGCCCTGGGTTCAATTCCTCAGCACAAATAAGCAGAAAAAGCTGGAAGTGGCACTGCAGCTCAAATGCTAGCCTTGAGCTGAAGAGCTGAGGGACAGTGCCCAGGCCCAGAGTTCAGGCCTCACAACCGGACCCAAAAAAAAAAGAATCTCACAGACTTTATTGGCCAAGCTGACTCCAAACTTGGGTCCTCAGATCTCAGCCTCCTTAGTAGCTAGGATTAGAGGCATGATCCTCCAATGCCTGGCAAACATTTATCTTTTGAAAACAGTTTTAGATTTGGAAACAGCTTGGTTATTTGGAACCAAGTCTAGTAAAGAAGAAATCATTATTTCAAGAGATACATATTATTTGACAGCACAGCTTTAAAGCACAACGCAATAGTATTATCTGAGTCAGCTCTATTACCCTAACTTCTATCAAGTTATTTAAATCAAGAAATATCTGTCTCATGGCTGTTGTGAAGATTAAATGAGATAATGTATATGTAGCTTCTGGCTATATATGTAAAATTAAGCATATATTTTTCTCCACTATTACTTTAATTGTTTCAAAGTTTGAAGCGCGTAGGATATCCTTATTTCAATTTGTCCATATTTTAACTATCAACTCTTTCTCTATTATATGACAGTATGTGAATATAAGTAGAAATCAATGGGCAACTCACCTGTGGAAACCATCTTTCAAAACTTCTTGCCTCAAAATAATTTCAGAACAAGTGGCCCTGATGCCTGTAAGAATCAAAAGAGTTTTTAAAAGACACTCAGGGAAAGAATATTTAAACAACTGAAAATAATTACACCAATATGCTTGGGTTGTCAGAAAAACTAACCAACCTAAAGGCAAAACAAAAAAAAATTTAATGTTAAATAGTTTAGGTAGGAAGGGGTGGCTAACCCTAGCTACTTGGAAAACTGAGGGAGGATCTATACTCCAGGACAACTCAGAAAGCACAGTCCATGAGACACTGTATCAACCAATAGATGGCACCTGTTATCCTAGCTACATAGAAGGCTGAGATAGAGAGGATCAGGGTTCAAGTCCAGCCAGGACAGAAAAGTCTTGCGAAAGACCCTCTCAATAAAAGGGAGCTGGACATTGTGGCATATGCCTGTTCTCTCAGGATGGGAAGCCTAACATAGGCAATGACCACCCAGGTATATGCTTGGATAGGAAGCAAGATCCTATCTCCAAAAAAAAAAAAAAAAATCACAAAGGCTCAGCAGCAGAGCACCTGCCTACCAAGTATAAGACCCTGAGTTCAAGCCTCAATACACCTCAACAAAAAATTTAAGCTGTTTGAATTGCATGTAGAACTATTTCCAGTGTAGCATCTTGGTTGAAAATACTAATGGTAGAGCTGAGTGCCAGGGGTTCATACCAGTAATCCTACCTGTTCAAGAGGCTGAGATCTGAGGATCATGGTTTGAAATCAGTCTGTACAGTTTGAAAGATACTTTTTGTTTTTTTTGGGGGGGAGGTGTAAGAAATGTTATGTATTGTACAAAGAGAGGGCCATCTGGCTCCCATTTCTGGGCCCTGTTAAGACTATACATTCTACAATAGTAACTCCATTTCTTTTTGACATTCAAAGAGCTCCAAAGGCCTATGATCCTGTTCATTGAAGAGTCATGAACCCTTCAACTCCAGTTAAATCCTTGGTGTTTCGGCTGTATGGGAGCTGTGGAGGCTGGTTTTGGTGGAGGTCCTGATACAGCCCCAGCAGTAGCTGGTTTAAGAGTGTAAGGTTGCTCTCTCCGAGAGGCACAGGTAGGGGTGGGAGGCAGTTAGTTCCCTTTGTATTCGATCACTGCCATCTTGGCTGGATCCTGCTTATTACGATTTGGGACCTGCAGCATTCTTGTGTGACCTCCATTCTGATCTCAGTAGCGAGAAGCCAGTACTTGAAAGAGCTTTGGGATCAAGTCCTCTTCTGTGAGCCAGAAGTCAGCCATAAGCTTCTAGATGTAGCCCCTCATTTCATCCATGCATCCCTACTGTGCCTCAATGAGTTCATGCTGCACCAGTTCCATTTCGCACCAGTTCTATAAAAAAGTCACATATCAAGTGGTTTCAAGACTTACGGCCAAGGCCCACGCACTGGTACACATGGCTGTGGGATATGGTTGCATGAGCCACATCTTCACAGCATCAACCCTGAAAGACTCATCTCTAATTAACCACTAAAAAGCTAGAAATGGAGCTGTGGCTCAAGTGGTAGGGTGCTAGCCTTGAGCATAAAAGCTCTGGAATCAGCACACAGGCCGAGTTCAAGCCCCTGGACAAAAAAATTAAATAAATAAAAATAACATAAAATACTGACTTTGGAGTTCAATTGTCTGATTTCAAATATTAGTCTATTGATAGCTCTGTGTCTTTGAGCAAAATAATTTATCTCTGTAGTCTTCATAAGAATTTAATATAGGGACTAGGAAGGTGGCTTAGTGGAAGAGTGCTTGCCTAGCATGCATGAAGCCCTAGCTTTGATTCCTCAGTACCACATAAACAGAAAAAGCCAAAAGTGGTGCTGTGGCTCAAGTGGTAAAGTGGTAGCCTTGAGCAAAAGAAGCTCAAAGACAGTGCTCAGGCCCTGAGTTCAAGCCCCAAAACTGTCAAAAAAAAAAGAAAAAGAATTTAATATATGTAGAAGCACTGAGAACAATGCTACCATAAAGTAAGCATTCTATTAATAGTACTTCATTCAGATTAATCCCAGGACAAAAAAAAAAACAAACATAGGATGGCTTAAGAGCCAAAATTTCTGTTTTAAACATAGCTCATTGAAACTGTGCCCGTATCAACTACATAATGATAACTTCTGTATTCTAACATCCATGCCTGGGGAAGGGGCTTAAAATAAAAAGGGAAACTGAGGCACTCAAACATCCAAAGACTTCATTTGTAAGGTTAAAATAACCAAAATTTTACTTGACTGATTTCATGTTATCACTCAACTTACCTATCATAAAATTAAAAATTCAGTCTCTGCCCACCACCAACAATGCCAGGCTATAGAACTAGCCTCCACAGCAAAAGCTAGATGTATGTAGGAAGAATATTAAAACACTCAGCAACCATGTAGACTGCATGCCACTAACCCACTAGCTCTATTCTTGAGAAGATGCACTAAGAAAATGACAGGGAGGCAAAACCTTTTGAAATTAGGAAAGAAAGCAGAAAAAATGCTAAAATCTCCATATTCAATCTTGTCCTTTGAGCTTTCACATTTTCTGTTTTTTGTAACTTTTACAACTTAGCACATCAAGTAGGTGTAAAGCTACTTGAACACAGGAGAAAGCAAGGGTTTATAGTTAATTAGTGGTGGGTCATACAACTAGTAAGACAGTGACTCATTAGAAAACAAGTTTTGCCTAACAATTAAATTCTATTGGGATGTATTCCAGAGAGTAGTAAATCATTCATTTTAGATGGTAGAAAAGGCTATTTTACAAATAGCATAGTATATTAAGTATTACTTTTTCATGTTTACTACCATACATTAATAGTAGGTCTCACTGTGATAATTCTAGAGTTATGTCCAGGAACTTTGTATAAGTTTATCCCATTATGTTCCCTTAATCACGCTTCGGCCCAGAATTGATTCTGGGTTTGTTTGTGTGTGCTAGTACTGGGGCTTGAACTCAGAGCCTTGTTCTTGCTTAGCTTTTTCACTCAAAGTGGCACTGTACCACTTGCGCCTCACCTCCACTCTGGCTTTTTGCTGGTTAGAGAAAAGTCACCTGGGCTGGCTTTAAGACTCACTAAATCCCAATCCTCAGATCTCAGTCTCCTGAGTAGTTAGGATTACAGGCATGTTTCACAAGCGTCCATAATATGTGTGGGCAACTGATACCTATAGTTGATTTTTAAGGCAAATAATTTCTATCTGAATTCACTTTCAAGAATCCATCCTCTTAGCTACACATAGTAAGTTTATGCCTGTAAACGCAACACTTGGGATACTTAAGTAGGGAACGCCGAAGAGGAGGCCAGCCTGGAATACATAGCAAATCCCTTGTCTTAAAGGAGAAAAAAAAATTGTCTCCCTCTCCCTGTTTTATTTTTGCTCACTGGCAGGTGTCGTACCACTTAAGCCACGCCTCCAGCGCTACCCCTCTTAAATATTACTTTATTTGGTCGTGATGGCCTGAACTGGTGCTGGAAATTGACCCCTTCTAATTATAAAATGCAATGCTGGAAGAGTTCTTGGAGATCCCAAGACCAGTTTTAAAAAATCTATTTGGCCAGGAGCTGATGTCTGACACCTGTAAACCTAGGTAGTCAGGAGGCTGATATCTGAAGATCGCTGTTGGAAGCCAGCTTGGCCAGGAAAGTATGTGATTCTGATCCCAAAGTTCAAGCCTCAAAACGGGGGAAATAAATAAATAAATAAATCTATTTGGCTTCATCATCTTTTCAATAAATTTGTAAACGAACATGCTACCAAAAGTCAGAACTGTGCTGAGTCGCAGATGCGAATATGACACCCTCATTTTGTAGCCGGAGAAACTCATCGGGGGGTCGGTGCTGACTCTCCTATCGAGCCTCGTCACACTTTATTACTCTAGCACGTGTCTGACTTTCCCTCCACACAGCAAATCTAAATGGTGCCGTGTTCGGCTTGGGGCTGGCTAATCCCCAAGTGTTAACAGCACTTGTTTCAGCGTTCAGGCTGTAATGGACCCAGGTCCGAAGATTCCCAGTCCCGTGTCATAATGAAACCCTAGACCAACCCGGTCTATCAGCAAAGACGTGGGTAGAACGAACCCTCCACACACCTACCCCCAACCTCGCGCCCAAGTACACACGGGGGTTTTAGGCACAGCCTGGGGAGCTTCACACCTTACGGGGCGCGGATACCCGTCTGGCTGGGGGGGGGGGAGAGGGAAGAGAAGTTTCAGGAATCCACTAGTATCCCAAGACGCTTCATGATATGGTTGGTCCGTGTTTGGGTCACTGCGGCCAGTCCCGGCCTCGGAACCACCAAAACCCGACTCCACACCAGTCTGGGATCGGGGCAGAGATCCCGCGAGGAGAAGCAGAGGCTCGCGGCCTTTGTTTTGCGCCTCCTCGGATCAACCTCCGTTCTAGGGCCCCGCCCCCGGTTACGGCGGCCCGCCGCGACGCCCGGAGGATCCCCGAGTCCCGCCTGACCACCACCCTTCCCACCCAAGCCCCGTCCCCTTTACCAGCGCCAAAGGGGGCGTCGCTGAAGGCCGAGGCCAGCGAGTGGGTGAGCCCGGCCAACCCAACGAGCAGCCAGGCCACTGCCCGGATAGCCACGAACCGGGCAGCCAGGACGCCGGAGCGCGGACGCCCGAGAGGGGCGCGGGAAGACCGGATGAGGACGCAGACAGAGCCTGCACACGCCTCACTAGAGGCGCCACCCCGACGCGGTGACCAAGGCTGAGAGCGCGTACACGCCGGGTCCGGTCCGGCGGTTTCCCAGATCTCCTCAGCTTGGAATCCCCTCCGGCTCCAGGCGCCGCGAGAGGCCGCCTGCCGCCTGATCGCCGGCCCCACCTAGTGCACCTTCGCTGCCACGCCCCCTCATGGGCGGGGCGGGAAGTAACGCATGCGCCTTAGTCTCAGGGAGGGTGGCGGGGGAGGTGGTTGCCGTGGGAACAGCTCCGCGGGCCCCGCAGCGGGACCCTGGACACGGGATCCCCGGACCTGGTGTCTCCCAGGTGTGGCCCCTGGAGAAAGCCCGCTGCGTCGGTGACGTCGGGTGTGGTCGGGCTCGGGCCTCCGGCCGACAAGTTCACCCTGCGGTCACGCCTGTCTAGGCTCTGGCTGTCGCTCCTTCCTGCGGCGCCAGGCTCTGCTGAGGCTCAGGCCCGTGTCTGTGCGGAGAGTTCGGGTGGAGGTTCGGACGTGGGCCTGCAGGAGGAGATACACTTTGTGTATTTCTTTAAGGATAAGAAGGTCAGCCTTGCGCTGGCAGGGACGTGAAGAGAAGCGGCTACGCACCGAGATCCGTGTCCCGCTACGATGAGAGACACCAAGGCCTCGGCAGTCACTGACCCGCAGAAGGACGGTGTTCACCTTAAAGATAACTAGGTACTCGGAATGTCTGCTGGCCCGGGGCCCGTCACAACCGGGGGAGTGAGTGCATGTGTTTAACCCTGAAAGTAGCGGTGTAAGGATGGTGTGGAGAAATAGGGATTCATGTATGCGTCTTCCAAATATCTTAAAATGCGGAGAGGATTTGAAAAAATACCTAAAAGAATTGTAACTGGTTACTGAGGGAGAAGAGAAAGGCTGAGGACAGGCTTTTTATGATTTTGATCGTGATGATCCTCCTGAAATTATTTTGCATTTCTAGCATTACAAAGACTAGTAAAAATTAAAATTTAAGAGACAAAAGAATGTATAGTGAAAAAAGCGACATTATGGGGTATCTGTTGAGACATCATTCACAAGTATGGACATTTGCTTGAATGGGTAGTTTATATTGTGCTGAGTATTATTTTCTAGAAACTTTACTAATGTCTAAATTTTGATGAAATGGACTGGGAGTAGTATTTGGCTATTAGATCAGATCAGAGGCAGAGCTCAGTAATTTTTAAAAGTTGGTGGTTGTTGGGTTTTTTGGTCGGTCATGGGGCCTGAACTCTGGGCCTGGGCGCTGTTCCTCAGCTCTTCAGCTCAAGGCTAGCACTCTACCATTTGAGCTGCAGTGCCACTTCCAGCTTTTTCTGCTTATTTGTGCTGAGGAATTGAACCCAGGGCTTCATGCATGCGAGGCAAACACTCTACCACTGAGCCATCTTCCCAGCCCCTGTTTGTTTGTTTTTGAGACAGAGTCTTTGTAGCCCCAACTGGCTTCAAAATCAAGATCCTCTTGTCTCAGCCTCCCAAGTGTGGGAGTACATATGTGCTCCACCATACCTGGCAAAAATAATTATTTGTGATTAACTTCCTAAGAGTTACAAATTCTCTTATCCAGAGCTGGGCGCTGGTGGCTCATGCCTGTAATCCTAGCTACTCAGGAGGCTGAGATCTGAGGATCGCGGTTCAAAGCCAGCCCGGGCAGGAGAGACCGTGAGACTCCTATCTCCAATAAACCACCAGAAAACCGGAAGTGGCGCTGTAGCTCAAGTGGTACAGCGCTCGCCTTGAGCTGAAGAGCTGAGGGACAGCGCCCAGGCCCAGAGTTCAAGCCCCACGACCGACCAAAAAAAAAAAAATCTCTTATCCAAGAGTTATTATACAAATTATTTAACATCCATAGAATATTTGACAATTATTTAAAAATTACATTTTAGCAAAATATTTAATAATCACATAGGTTAATTTTGTAAGTCAAGAAATATATAGGGATAGAAAATAGAAAATCGATAGGAAATAGCTCATATGCCTAGAAAAAAAGACTAGGAAATCAAGAGTGGTTATTTCACATTTTCTTCCTCCTTCCTTTGTGTTGAATTTAAAATTTTTAATTATAAAGGAGATTTAGAAAAACTATGTTAAGTGTTGCTTAGGCAGAAGTCCATATATGAAACTGTCATCACCTTATGACTGCTGTTGGAAGTAGAACATTCATATCATTCATTTCCAAAATCCAGGCCACTGGTTGGCTAAAGCCCAGAGCAATAAACCTCCAGCCTGAGTTCCTAAAGCCTGGATTAGTAACTCCCCAGATGTAAGGGCTTGTTGTAATAAGCCTCTGAGTCTGCAAGTCCAGCCTCTCTGCTGCATACTCATGGACGCTGAGACCTATTCCAAAACCTTAACTCATTTGAGAATCTTTCTGAAAATATCATACACACATCAAAAACAGTACCTATGGGTTAGGAAGGTGGCTTAGTGGTAGAATGCTTGCCTTGCATGCATGAGGCCTTGGGTTCGATTCCTCAGCACCACATAAACAGAAAAAGCCGAAAGTGGTGCTGCGGCTCAAGTGGTAGAGCGCTCGCCTTGAGCTGAAGAGCTGAGGGACAGCGCCCAGGCCCAGAATTCAAGCCCCACGACCGACAAAAAACAAAACAAAACAAAAACAGTTCCTATAATTAAATATATTTTGACACTGAGGCCGAGGGAAGGAAAGAAAAGAAACCCCTGCAAAAAAAAAAAAAAAAAACTAGAACAAAACCATAATGAGATAAATAGGCTGCAATAGAAGCCATGTAAATATAACTGGTTTTTCTATATGGACATGCTAATTCTCCCTCAGATCTGCCTTTTTGATCTGGCTTCTAGGTTGTAGATGCATAGGTTGTTACCAATCAGCTGACCAAGGAGGGTTGTTTTGCTCTGTAAACATCATGAGTACACAGGAATAACTCTCCAAGTATTGGTGGTACAGGGCCCTTGGGTGCAGAAAGTATAGGGTTTGAACTTGCAGACCCAGAGCCTTACAACATCAGGCCCTGGAACTTGGGGAAGTTATTTCTCTAAGCTTTAGGGTCTCAGGTTGGAAGCTTATTCCTCAGTGGCCCTGGCAGGTAGCAGCTATTCCAGTGCTCCACTTGCAGCAGCAGTGAGGGACAGCCACAAGCAGCATTTGCTAATATTACAGCTCCTGGACAGACTTCAACTCCTACAACATCTAGTGTTAACAGCTCTCAGACCTAGGGTGTCAGCACAGTTGACTTTTGAGGCTTGGAAGCTCATTGGAGCTGTTCTTTAACTGTTACTGCTTCTACACTGCCACTGCTGCTGCTCCTACTCGCCTGCTGGTGTTTCCACTGTCTCCTTGTGTTGTCAGCTCAACCTGTTCTACTAAGATTAAAAGTAGATAAGAAAAGGGGACTGGAGAGAATCTAATGTTGCAACACTGACAGCAGCACAGGAGGGTATCTCCCAACTGGAAAAGTGAGCTCCAGAGTCTACTCATATAACCAGAAGGGGATAAGTGTGTTTGCACTAATCATAGCTCTTCATGAGAATGAAGCTTATGATCTATACCAATCACAACGCAGCCTTTCAAGCAAATTGTTGTGACCTACACCAATCACAAGCCTTCTGCTGAAGCAAAAGGGGACCCATTCTCTCTTGCTTGGATAAAAAAAAAAAATTTGAAGGTCACCAAGGTTTTTCTTGGTTAAGAGCCATTTCCCAGGCTCATGCAGAGTACCTGGAGTGGCGCTGACTGGAATACGTATTTAGCCATGGTTGTAATACTTCTCTGTAGCAACAGAATAATTCTAAAGTGTCAGAAACAACTAGAGCCAGGCACTGCTGTCATCCTAGCTATACAGAAGGCTGAGAACTAATGATTAGGATTTGAAGCCAGCCTAGGCAGGAAAGTCTATAAGTCTTATCTCCATTAATCACCAAAATGCCTGAAGGGGAACTGTGGCCCAAGTGATAGAGTGGTACCCTTGAGCAAAAAGCTCAGGGAGAGTACCCAGGCCTGGAGTTCAAGCATGTACACATGCATGGTCCATTACCCTACACACACACACACACACACACACACACGCACACACGCACACATACAAACATACAACTAGCTAGAAATAGAGCTCTGGAGAGTGCTTGCCAAGCGTGCTTGAGGCCCTGGATTCAGTTTCCAGTAACACAGTGGTGTTTGAAAACAGCATTTACCATGAAGACTATCTGGCTGGTGGCCAGTAAAGAGATTGTGGCTGACAGTGCCTTCCACTTCAGGTTTGTCAAATGGCTTACTCTTGATAGTTTTAACCATTCACAGAAATCATTAAAAGAGTATTTACAATAAAGACTTAACAAAAGCCTCAGCGCCAGTATTCAATGTAGTAATGTATAATAGTGCCTAACTTCTGACCCAATAACCCATGGAAAGGTGGGGCCCTCTGATCTATCTTAATATATAGAAGCCTTGCATACACACACACACACACACACACACACACATATATATTTATATCCCTAAATTAGTATATATGGAAGGCCTGCTATATTCCAGATATGCTGAGAAACTGTGATAAAATAGATATGTTCCTTTCTGTCCTGAGCCATATAGACCTAAAGGGGAAAAAAAGTAAGTTTGTTTGTTTTAAAAAAAAAGATGTTATTTTTGTTTTTTCTTTTTGTAGGAATAGGGATTGAACTCAGGGTCTTGTGCCTGTTAGGCAGGCACTATACCACTAAGCTCCATCTTCTTCCTGCCCTCCACCCCCACAAGAAAGGAAGAAAGAAAGAAGGAAAGAGAGAGAGAGAGAGAGGAAAGAAAGGAAAGAAAGAAAGATCAGTGTGTGAAATCATTTAGAAAGTACAAGGGAGATGTGGTCTGGAGAACCTCTCAGGATAAAAATTTCCTCTATATCTTGGTATAGGTAGTGATTGATATATTTTTTCTTGTTGTTGTTTGTTGACTTTTTAAAGATGATTTCTAGCATCAGGCACCGGTGGCTCAGGCCTGTAATCCTAGCAGGAGAGACCGTGAGACTCCTATCTCCAATAAACCACCAGAAAACCGGAAGTGGCACTGTAGTTCAAGTGGTAGAGCACTCTCCTTGAGATGAAGAGCTGAGGGACAGCGCCCAGGCCCAGAGTTCAAGCCCCATGACACACACACACACACACACACAAAGATTTCTAATAGTTTACATTAGTTATACAAAGAGGAGTTTCATTGTGACATTTCCAAATATGCATACAATGTATCCCAATAAAACTCACCCCCTCTGTTCCCTTCTCTTACTCTCTTACCTCTTCTTGAATCAAACTATACATCTTCATTCACCTGCCCCTCCCTCACATGCCCCATCCCAGCAGAGTCTGAATTTACTTTTCTGTCATTCATTTGATACACTTTTTTTTTTGTCTCTGTTCCTCAGCTCTTCAGCTCAAGGCAAGTGCTCTTCCTCTTGAGCTACAGAACCACTTCCAGTTTTTTAGTGGTTTATTGGAGATAAGAGTCTCACAGACTTTCCTGCCTGGGCTGGCTTTGAACCTCAGTCCTCAGATCTCAGCCTCCTGAGTAGCTAGGATTACAGGTGTGAGCCATCAGCGCCCTGCTTTGATACACTTTCTTAATTGAGCAATAGAAAAGACCCTGTAAGTTTTGTTCTTAAGCTTATTCAGTCTTTTGTAAGAATGCCATACATTTAGGTCCAAGCTGAATTGCATGCCTAGGCTCATGTGTCAACAAACATACCCTTCAAGGAACCAGAGAGTCTTAAAAGATCTACAAACTAGCCTGGCACCAGTGGCTCATGCCTGTAATCCTAGCTACTCAGGAGGCTGAGATCTGAGGACTATGGTTTAAAGGCAGCTCTGGTAGAAAAATCAGTGAGACTTTTACCTCTAATTTCAGAAAACTGGAAGCTCAAGTGGTAAAGCACTACCTTGAGCTAAAGAGCTCAGGGACAGGGGACTAGCCCTGAGTTCAAGCCCCAGGACTGGCCAAAAAAAAAAAAATCCAACAAACTTCAGGGTCAAACTGAACTTTCAGGGTTGCCCTAAAATTATTGAGTTTGCAACGTGGTTTGCAATTCTAAAACTGGACAACAGCCTTATCTGCTGGAGAGGAGAGCCAAAGGAAGGGAGATGCGGTCAACACCTAATTGATGTTCTTTCTCCCATCAGCAGGAAGTTATTATGCAGTTAATACATCTTCATCAAGTTTCATTTAACTTACCCTGAGGCATATGTGAAAAATGATGTGCACTGCCAAGAAGTGTGGGATTAGATTCCAGCCTCCAGCTATCATCTTAATTTATGAGAATGAAATCAAAGGGAAGAGTCGTCAGCGCATCATGCCAGTTCGAAACTTTTCAAAGTTTTCAGGTACCTCATGTTCTATCTTGCCTACTATCCTATACCTCCTCTCCCCTCCATCTCTTCCTGTCATATGGCACTGTCCCTGAGCTCTTTTGCTGAAGACTAGTGCTCTACAACTTTGAGCCATGTTACCACTTCCAGTTTTCTAGTGGTTAATTGGAAATAAGAGTCTCACAGACTTTCCTGCCCTAGTTGGCTTTGAACCACAATCCTCAGATCTCAGCCTCCTGAGTAGCTAGGATTACAGATGTGAGCCACTAGGACCTGACCTATACATTCTCTTAATCACTGAAGAATGTTTGATTTCAAGTACAGTAGCACATGCCTGTATCCCCAGCTACTTGGAAGGCTGAGGCAGGAAAAATCTCATATTTGAGGCCAACTTGAGCAACTGAGGGATACTCTGTCTCACATTTAAGTTAAAAAAAATGAGAGAGGGAGCTGGGCACTGGTGGCTCACACCTGTAATCCCAGCTACTCAGGAGGCTGAGATCTGAGAGGATCGAGGTTCAAAGCCAACCCAGACAGGAAAGTCTGTGAGATTCTTACCTCCAATAAACCACTAGAAAACTGGAAGTGGCGCTGTGGCTCAAGCGGTAGAGTGCTCTCCTTGAGCTGAAGAGTGCAGGGACAGTGCCCAAGCCCAGAGTTCAAGCGCATGACCGACAAAAAATAAAATAAAATAGAGAGAGAGAGAGAGGGAATGGCTCACTTGTAGAACACTTGTATGTGAGACCCTGGGCTCAGTCCTCAGTACTGAACAATTGAGGCTCAAGCAACAGAAGTTAGTTCAAATTGGGCTGGGAAGGTGGCTCAGTGGTAGAGCGCTTGCCTTGCATGCATGAGACCCAGGGTTCGATTCCTCAGCACCACATAAGCAGAAGAAGCCAGAAGTGGCACTGTGGCTCAAGTGGTAGAATGCTAGCCTTGAGCTGAGGGACAGCGCCCAGGCCCAGAGTTCAGGCCCCACTGCTGACACCCAAAAAAAGAAAAAAAAAAAGGAATAAAGTCTCACTTTTTTCCTAGCCCATCCTGAAGTGCACTCCTCCAATTTATGCTTCCTATATAGTTGGGATGACAGGTGCATGCCACACTACTCAACTTTATATTGTTGGTTGAGATCAGAGTCCTGATAACTTTTTGCCTGGACTGTCCTCAAACTTTCATCCTCTTGATCTCAGCCTCTTCAGTAGGTAGGATTGGAAGTAGAGCTGTAGTTCAAGTGGTAGAGCACTAGCCTTGAGCAGAAAAGCTCAGGGACCAGGGACACAGCACTCAGCCCCTGAGTTCAAGTCCCAGATCTGCAGAACAACAACAAAAATCTCATGAGGGGCTGGGAATGTGGCCTAGTGGTAGAGTGCTTGCCTTGCGTGCATGAGGCCCTTGGTTTGATTCCCCAGCACCACATAAGAAAAAAGAAAAAAAGCCGGAAGTGGTGCTGTGGCTCAACTGGTAGAGTGCTATCCTTGAGCAAATGAAGCTCAGGGACAGTACCCAGGCCCTGATTTCCAGCCCTAGGACTGGCAAAAAAATTAAAAAATAAATCTCCTGAGTAGATAGGATTATAGTCAGAAGCCCTTGTGCCTGTGTGAGTCAACTGAGATACCATTATTCAGTAGCATCAATTTTTTGTTTGTATTTTTTGTTTTGTTTTGTTTTTCCGTCATGGGGCTTCATCTCTGGGCCTGGACACCGTCCCTCAGCTCTTCAGCTAGTGCTCTACCACTTGAGCCACAACTCCACTTCCGGCTTTTTCTGCTTATGTGGTGCATGAGGAATCAAACCCAGGGCCTCATGCATGTGAGGCAAGCACTCTACCACTGAGCCATATTCCCAGGCCCAAATGTTTGTTTTTTTATGTCATCATTTTATTAGTACCATGACTGTTGGCTAAAATCTTTCCTGTTTTGCCTGATGCCAGTGGCTCATGCCTGTAATCCTAGCTACTCAGGAGGCTGAGATCTGAAGATCGAGGTTCAAAGCCAGACCGGGTAGGAAAGTCTGTGAGACTCTTATCTCCAGTAAACCACTAGAAAACTGGAAGTGGCGCTGTGGCTTAAAGCAGTAGAATGTTCACCTTGAGCTGAAAAGTGGAGGGACAGCACCCAAGCCCAGAGTTCATGCCCCACGACCAACAAAAAAAAACCATAAAATCTTTCCTGTTTTATTCTCAGACATTTTCTTCAGTTGAACATTTTTTACATCTCCACAAGTTAAGGAAGTAAAAAGTAAATACATCCTCTCCTTCTTTCTCCACAATGTTAGCTCAGTTTATAAAAAGTCATTTATAATAATAAGTTGATTGATTTGACACAATCTTACTGTTTTGATCAGGCTGGCTTTAAAGTTGGGATTTTCCCTCTTCTGCCTCCCAATGCCTCCCCATACCTATCACATGCCTATCAAAGTTCATCTTACTATAATTCTATACACTTATTTATTCCAACCAAGTCCTTTAGCCATTTGACTATAACGGAGCCAATGATTTCAGGGTTCTGAGCTTTTTGTTCTCTTTTTGCTCTAGCAGTAATTTATGGCAAATAGTTTATTATCATTGTTTTTGGTATCTATGAAATGTGTAACATAGGTTTTTCCTCCCTCCCAGATTGTTCAAGAGCTGCTGAACAATTAAAGAATAATCCACGACACAAAAGTTACCTAGAACAAGTATCTCTGAAGCAATTAGAGAAGTTGTTTAGTTTTTTACGAGGTTACTTGCAGGGACAAAGCTTAGAGGAAACCATGAAACAAATTGAACAGGAAACAACCATTGATCCTGAGGAAGATCTAAACAAACTAGATGACAAGGAGCTTGCCAAAAGGAAGAGAATCATGGATGAACTTTTTGAGAAAAATCAGAAGAAGAAGGATGATCCGGATTTTGTTTATGACATTGAGGTAGAATTCCCACAAGATGAACAAGTTCAGTCCTGTGGCTGGGATACAGAGTCAGCCGATGAGTTCTGATGCCAAACTCAATTTATTAGGCTAGAAGAATATGTTTCTATAAAGAACATAGTATGGTTCTAAAAAAAAATCTATCAATAGCACTAAGTATATGTGTTGGGTCATAAAAACCAGGACATTTACATTTACTGTGTAGATACAAGATGAACATAGGAAGAAAACATAGGCATCTGCCTTTAGGATCTCCTTTGGGAGATTAAAAAAAAAAAAGCTAATCAATAATGTTAAGCAGCAAAAAGTTAGAACCAGGTGCTTAGTAAAGACAAGAAGTTAGAGCCTAAATTACTATACAATGCAACAACCATGGAAGATCTTAGTGGAGAAATAGTGTTTTGCCTGGTCTTTCAAATGGTAATATTTGGATAGGAGCTTATAATAGAATTCCAAGTGAGAGCAACTGGGGAAAAGAGGAAGGAAAGTAGTAAAGAGACAAGAAAGAGATTTTTTTTAATTTGAGTAACAGTAAGCAAATTGTAGTTTGATGGTTGGAGAACATTAAGTCTGGTATACTTAAGTTTTTGTGCATACATAACTCTAGAGGGGACTATCAATGCACCATGCTAGCTTCACGTGGATGGCCTGTGATGAATAACAGGAGAATTCTGCCTCTGTGGGGTCAGAAAATACATACGAAAAATATTCTCAAACCACAATGAGAGCTTTGTTTGTAAAATGGGAAATCCATCCATAATGAATGAGCAATATGTACTGCCAGCCAGGCCTGTTCATGAGTTTGGGTGTACAAAGAGGATCTTCGTTTAACAGTATCTGTGTGATGATGTATTTGTTCTTGCTAGAATGCTGTTTAACTGGTAGAAGTCCTATGTTTTCACTAGGGATATTAATATTCATTAAATAAGGCTATGTAAATAATTATTGTTTTTATCTGTTTATCTCTACTGTCTTTCCCATCAAATACCATAATAAGGGGATTATTTATATAGTGCTAACAAATCAGAGTCTGAAGATAGGCACGTCTCTTACATATATTTGCCAAAGACAGCAAAAAGAATTTGCAGAATTAGAGAGCCTTCTGTACCTACATCATTTTCCATATACCTCATTGTATATATTGAGTAATTTAAAAGCTGCCTTTAGTAGTACTGTGAATACTCAATTTTAATAAACATTAAGTTGTCTTCTATTAAGGCTCAGTCATTCATTTATGCAATGTATTAAGTGCCCACTCTATGCTAAGCCTGTACTGTTCTTGCATTTGGGGATATAGCACATGCATGACAGAGTCTGCTTTTCTTGGACTTAACAGTCTTGTTGGAAAAAAAGAGACAAACAAAATGCATAGACTAATGGCAGATGATAAGTGCTCTGTATTAAAACAGGGCAACAGGAGAATGATGGAGCCAGTGGAGGCCACGGGCGATCTGAGAGGGCCTCATTGGAGGGGGTGATATTTGAGCAAAGACCTGAAGGCAGGAAGGGAACACTGATGTGCAATTCAGGATTAGTGGAGAAACTGAATGCATAGGCTGGAGTGTGTTTGGCATATTTGAGGAATTGCAGGAGGTGAATTGAGATTGAGCAAGAGGGAAAATGGTTGATGATGTTGAAAGGTATATTACCAATGCATAGTACATCCCATGAAGATCATACCGAATGCAACTCTCAGCAGTACAACAAGAGTACCAGTTTTCTCCACATACCATGACAGAAAGTGTTACCACACTTGCTGAGCTTTGCCAGTTTTTAGTTTTTACAGTGGTATCTCATAGTTTTAATCTGCATATCTTGTTTTACACATGTGAGGACCATTTTTGTGAAATAACTGTTATATCCTTTCACCAAAGGATATGTATTTTGTATTTGGCTGCTAATCTTTTTATTTCAGATCAGTACAAGTCTTTATTGAGGAGTTTATTCCTTGATCTGAGTTGCAAATATTGTCACTTTGTTTCCTTCCTTCCTTCTTCCTCCCTTTCCTCTCTCTTTCTCTCCCCTCTTCTCTCTTCTTTTACTTAATAATTTTTCCAGGTAAATTGTGTGTGTTTGTGTGTGTATGTTTGTATGTATGCTTGCCTGTATGCCCGTATGTGTGTATTTGTGCCAGTACCAGGGCTTGAACTTGGGGCCATACTTTTCCCTCAGCTTTTTCACTCAGGCTGGCACTGGAAGAGTGCCAGTTCAAGTGGTAACGAGCCATTCCTCCACTTCCAGCTTCTAGCTAGAGAAGGTGAGAATCTTGCATATTTGCCTACTTGGGCTACTTCCTAACCTCATTTCTTAGATCTCAGCCTCCTGAGTAGCTAGGAGTATAGGTTTAAGCCACTGATACCTGGTTCCGGAAATATTTTCAAGTAGTTCAATTAAATCAATACTTTTCTCTACACATATGCATTTTTTTGTTATATATAGAAGGCATTTCTCACCCCCAAAATACTCTCATTATTATTTTATTATTTATATTTAGTATTTAGTATTTTAATTATTATTTTATGGGGATTAAAACCATGGCCTTGGGGCTGGGAATGTGGCTCAGTGGTAGAATGCTTGCCTAGCATGCATGAAGCCCTGGGTTTGATTCCTCAGTACCACATACACAGAAAAGGCCAGAAGTGGTGCTGTGGCTCAAGTAGTAGAGTGCTAGCCTTGAGCAAAAGAAGCTCAGGGCATGCCCAGGCCCTGGAGTTCAAGCCCCAGGACTGGCAAACACAATACCAACAACAAAAACATGGCCTTTCACACACTAGACAAGTGTACTATCAGTGAGCTAGTTATCCTTAAATAATTATTACTATTTTTTTTGCCAGGGCTTGGACTCAGGACCTGCCACTGTCCCTGGGCTTATTTTGCTCAAGACTAATACTCTACCACTTGAGTCACAGCATTTCCAACTTTTCTCTGTTTTGTTTTGTTTTTGTTTTTGTTTTTTTGGGTCCGGTCGTGGGGCCTGAACTCTGGGCCTGGGCGCTGTCCCTCAGCTCTTCAGCTCAAGGCTAGCGCTCTACCACTTGAGCCACAGCGCCACTTCTGGCTTTTTTCTTTTTGCTTATGTGGTGCTGAGGAATCGAACCCAGGGCCTCATGCATGCAAGGCAAGCACTCTACCACTGAGCCACCTTCCCAGCCCCCATTTCCAACTTTTCTATGTGGTACTGAGAAATTGAATCTAGGGCATCATGCATGCTAGGCAAGCACTCTACCACTAAGCCATCTTCCTAGCTCCCCTAAATTATTTTAAAATAATGAGCTTACTTTGGTGTCAAACATGAGATATAATTACAATTTTATTTTTTTCTAAATGCCCATCCAGTTAAAATGTCAGCTCTATCATATACTATCCCTATGTTTACTGAACAGATTTTTTTTTAGAATTTTTATTGTTATGATAAAGGTAATGTACAGAGGATTACCATTTCATAAGTCAGGTAATGAGTACATTTCTTTCTGGACAATGTCATTCCTTCCTTCACTCTCTCCAAGTTTTCCTTCCCAACCTTGGTCACAAGTTGTATAGTTCACATATGTATTTACTTATTTAGGTGAGACAATGGGAATTTAATTTGTTCAGGATTTACAGCTCATAAGGGTATAGAGTGGAGAAATTTTTTTGTTATTATGAAGGTGATATACATAGGGTTTACAGTTATATAAGTACATGCTTTCTGGGCACTGGTGGCTCACACTTGTAATCCTAGCAACTTAAGAGGCTGAGATCTGAGGATCATGGTTCAAAGCCAGCCTGAGCAAGAAAGTTTGTGAGACTTATATCTCCAATTAACTACTCAGAAAAAGCTGGAAGTGGTGCTGTGGCTCAAGTGGTAGAGCACTAGCCTTAAGCATAAAGAGGTTCAGGGACAGCACCCAGGCCCTGTATTCTAGCCCCAAGACTGACAAAAAAGAAAAGAAAAAGAAGAAGAAAAAGTACATGCTTTTTTGAACAACGTCACCCCTTCTCCCTCCCTCTCTCCCAGTTTTTCTTTCCTGTCCCCATCTACAAGTTATATAGTTCATTTTCCATATAGTGTCTACTGAGTACTACTGCTGCATTTGAACAGTTAATATCGTCTGTGACACACTTTCCAATTCATGACTTTGTCTGTTTTGTATTGGTTTCAGATTTGTTTTTGTTTTAGATAGGGTCGCCCAAGCAGGCCTGGGTCTTGCTGTCCTCCTGTTTCCCAGCTCCCAAGTGCTGGGATAACAGATGGCCCAGCTCAATTCATGCTTTCTATGCCCTCCTCCCTGCCCAGTCCTGGGGCTTGCACTCAGGCCCTGGCCACTGTCCCTGAACTACTTTTGCTCTACCACTTGAGCCACAGTACCACTTCCTGCTTTTTCTATTGATGTGGTACTGAGAACTTGAACCCAGGGCTTCATGCATGCTAGGCAAGCACTCTACCACGGAGCCACATTCCCACATCCTCAATTCATGCTTTTTGAGCACTTCTTTTTTATTTGCAAGGTGAGGCGCTATAGAAAGCTAAACATAAGTCATGGCTTTTGCCTTTACATAATTTAGCCAAAAGTAAAGTAAAAAACATAAACAAAATTAGCACAATCTAATAACAAAATTAGCAACTATCTTTTAGAGGTACTAACTGTAGAGCAGAAAGATGGCTCAGGTTAGCAATTGTTCTTTCTCATGTATCTTACTTCTCCAGAATTAATTATTGTGCTGATCTCTTTTAAAAAATTTTCCCTCATAAAATTAACATATATTCATTCTTTTTAAACATCTTAAGCAAAAAACAGGATTATGAAAGTAAAAATGGGAATATTCTCCCTCACCACCTTCTCCCAGTACTGGGAGGCTGTTGATCCCTTGTTACTTTGCTTTAGCATTTCTTTTTTCAGTCCCTTTATCTTTTTCGTTCAGCTTCATTTTCTTTTCTTTTTTTTGGGGGGGGGGTCCAGTGGTGGGGCCTGAACTCTGGGCGCTGGGCGCTGCCCCTCAGCTCTTCAGCTCAAGGCTAGCGCTCTACCACTTGAGCCACAGCGCCACTTCTGGCTTTTTTTTTTCTGCTTATGTGGTGCTGAGGAATCGAACCCAGGGCCTCATGCATGCAAGGCAAGCACTACCACTGAGCCACCTTCCCAGCCCCTCAGCTTCATTTTCTTTGCTCACTCATGCTACACAGCCTACAAATATAAGCATGATCCTATACATCAAAATAAGAAAATTTCAGCTCCTCTAAATATTAGATAAATCTCATATAAGCACACCGGTGTAGATCCTATCTAACTCTAGACTAGTTCTAAAGATGTATGCCAGCAATACTTGTCCATTGGATCTCTACGATGGTCTGGCTCATTGCAACACAAAGAAGTACACTGGAACAGCCCACAAATCACATCACATCCACCTACAGAAGATCTCTCCTAGAGAATACCAAAATGCCATACACCACTCTGCCCAGTCTCAGCAGAAAGCAGCTAGAGCAGTGCTCAGTGCTTGTCCTCATGGCCTAATGCTATACCATCCAAGAGGGAGGAATGAGGGGGAAGTTAGACCTCCTTGGCTAGATAGAAGATGGCAGCCAGACCCTGCTCCTACATGGCAGGATCGTCAGAAATAACTAAGTGAGAGACATGGGGTAGACAAGTCCCTGTAGCACTTGTCTAACCCGTGACAGGGCACACTGTTACAGGGAGGAGGCAAGAGCTTCCATATATAGCAAGCTGGGGAGAGTCTCTTTCTATATATGTTTGTGTATTTCTTTCACTTCTGAATAAACCTGTACCTTGGTTCACATCTGTAATCCTAGCTACTTAGGAGGCTGAGATCTGAGGATCCTGGCTTGAAGCCATCCAAGGCAGGAAAGTGCATGAGACCCTTATCTCCAATTAATCACCAAAAAGCTTGAATTGGACATGTGATTCAAGTAGAGAACCAGTCTTGAACAAAGAAGCCAAGCAAGACTATGAAGCCCTGAGTTTAAGACCCAGTTACACACACACACACACACACACACACACACACACACACACCTGTGGGTGTGCACCCAAAAGCTTTGGCGATTCTATCAATAGTTTGACAAAGAAAAATGTGAAGTTTGGAATTAGAACAGATGCTTAGAAAAAGGGAAAGAAAAAGTACAGTACAAAGAAGTGGTACAAGATGAGGAGAGTTCAATTTTTAAAATATATGTCAGGATATAAATATTCAGTATTTTTCATATATACACAT